CCAAAGTGCTGGGATTACAGGCATGAGCCACCGCGCCCGGCCTTTTTTTTTTTTTTTTTTAACGTTTTTGTTTTCTGGGCCAAAGAACAGAGCGGACGCATCTGTCCACTGATTCCTCCACCTGCGCAGAGAGCGCAGCCACGGGTGCGAGCCGGTCCTGAGACAGGGACTGCGCGGCTCTCCAGCCGCTGTAGGTGGAGGGACAGGACGCCGCACAACGACCGAAGACTGCCGGGGACCCAGAGGCCTTCGACATGCGAGGGGCAGAAACCAACACGGAGTAACATGCCCTGCTGATATTCCATACAACTGCTTCATTTTCCTGTATTTCCTCAGCCATTCAATTTTCCTCGTTAAAATAAAACATTCCCTGGAAACCTCATATGAAAAACTAGGAAAAGGTTTTCTGTCACAGTGGAAAATAGACGCAAAGTAAGAGGTGAGTGGATCGCAGGTGGGCTGAGCACTTCCTCAGGCAAAAACGAAACAAAACAAACATTTTCTTTGTTTTTTCTCTGTCAATCCCATCACATCTGCTTTGTACGACCAGAGAACTCCAGGAAATCCTATCCACTGATGGCACCTTTTAGGGGTTTCCAACGCTGTATGTTTCAAAACTACTGTCCTCTGTGTGCATGCCTGCTGTTGAATCAAAGCATCTTTGAGAGGCAACAGAGTATGATGTCTGTCACCATCCACCCGTCTAACACCCTGTCAGGCTGGGATGTCCTTACTTCTTGATTCGTTTGTCCAGTGCAAATATCCATAACCAGCGTCCAGTAGGGATATTGTCTGGTGAAACCAGCTTAGAGGAGGATTTCCTGTGCGCCCCGCCAGGCCAATCATATGTTTGTTTTAAGATGCATTTTTTGGAGAGAGGGAATGTAGACGTGCCATATATTTTCTTTTCATTTCTTCCTGTTCCCCCCTTCTATCCACTCATTCTCTTGAGGCACTTTAAGGAAACAGTGTCATGTTAGCCACCATGGATGCTGCACAGGAGAGCAAGGGGTGAGGGATTAGGGTGCTACCATGCGAATGCCAAATTCCAGGCCCCACCTCGGATCTGTGGAGTCAGAATTGCTGAGGGTGGAGCCCAGCCACCTGTGTTTGAATAAGCCCTCAAGTGACTCTGATGCTCAAGTTGAGAGCACTGATCTAGAGGTTTCAGAAGGGGGTCCCAGGGCCGGGCACCTGCTGAGGAGGAAGAGCTGCTCCTGGGGTTCCCTGACTATTCTCAATAGAAAGCTCAAACCACCCAGGGAAGCCAAGATTTATATTTGCCTTACATGAGGGGAGAGGGTTGTTTTATTACCTCTTTGAGAACTTCAGTGTTTTAGGTGACTGGAGGTCACAACACAAGTGCTTTTGATTTTCCTGTAGAATAACTCAGAGGAGTTCTTTTGAGCCAGGAGACTCGAGCCAAAATACCTGGAGCCCTCTCAAGCTATTTTGGCCTTTCCATTTGAAACCCAGGCTTGGAAGTTTCTAAGCCCTAAGGAAGACACTATAATCATTCTCTCTCCACCCTCCGGGTTGGGACTCAAGAAAAGTCTGTGATCCAATTTGAGTTCATTTTTGTATAATGCATGTAACTTAGGTTGAGATTCTTTAAAATTTTTATTTTTATTTTTTGAGACAGAGTCTTGCTCTGTCGCCTAGGCTGGAGTGCAGTGGCACCATCTTGGCTCACCACAGACTGGGCGTCCAGGTCCTCGGCAATCTTCCCACCTCAGCCTCCCAAGTACCTGGGAACATAAGTGCATGCCACCATGCCTAGCTATCTTTCTTTTTTTGTAGAGATGAGGCTCTCGCTATGTTGATCAGGCTCATCTCAGACTCCTGGGCTCAAACAATCCTTCCACCTCGCCCTCCCAAAGTGTTGGGATTACAGGAGTGAGCCACCATGCCCGGACTTCTTATGTATTTATTTACTTACTTTTGCTTCAGCATCATTTGCTGAAATGTTTATTTTCTTGGTGGAATTACTACTTATACAACTTTGTTAAAAACTCATTGAGAATATTTGTGTGGGTTTATTTCTGCATCCTGCTCTATTAATCCATGTGTCTATCTTCTTGCCAGTATTACATGGTTTTAATTACGGTGGTAATAATACAATCGTGCAAGAATCCAACAATGTAATACAATAGCCTTGAAATCAGGTAGACTGTTCCTACTAGATTTTAAATAAATACTTTATTCTAATTCCTTTGACTTTGCATATAAATTTTTAAATAAGGCCGGGCGCGGTGGCTCAAGCCTGTAATCCCAGCACTTTGGGAGGCCGAGGCGGGTGGATCACGAGGTCAAGAGATCGAGACCATCCTGGTCAACA